TATCATCACACCAACCACGCCAAGCACTACTATCACACCAACTACGCCAAGCACTACTATCACACCAACTACGCCAAGCACTACTATCACACCAACTACGCCAACCACACCAAGCACTACTATCACGCCAAGCACTATCATCACACCAACCACGCCAAGCACTACTATCACACCAACTACGCCAACCACACCAAGCACTGAAGGCTTCACTAACATAATCAATGACATTAACACCAAGAATGAATCTATTACTGATGACTTTTCCAGTATTGCCAACGAGCCTACTACTGAACAACTCACCGCCATTATCAAGAACACTACTGAAGAAGTACCTGCTACTGAGTCGTTCACCACAGCTGCCAATGATATTGTTGTCAAGAACACGACAACCTCTGCGAATTTGACTAGCGTGTTTAACGATGACCTTGATGCGACCAAGAATTTCTCAACCGTGCCTTTTTATGACAACGAAGGAGCTAACTTGGATGACGTCGATCTCATTACCCCTGCAAATAACCTTGCGGCTGGTATTCAAAGAAAGCATGCTAGCATTGCGAGAGATCTTCTCTCAACCATTGAACAAGATTGGGAACATATAGTCGGTAGCTTTGAAGGAAACAACGATGTTGAAATGGGCACTCTTATCTTATCTTATGTGCGGCTTATCGTCATAGGATTGGCTAGTATTCTGTTGCTTGGAATGCTTATTTACTTTGGGGTAATTCTTCCTATTAGGAATAGGAGGGTCCGACTTCAAAAGAGTATTTCGATGGAATATTTAAACCAATTAGCAAACGCTTCCACGCACTGGCGGAGCGAACCCCCGCAGGACGAAACGCCCTTGATGAATGTGCAAACTGATGCCAACTAATTGTTTTTAATAAAGATGCTGTAGTTTATGATCTTATTTGGCAGAAAGTAGATTTGTGGTTGCTGAACACCAACATTTATTTAACTGTCAATCCGCATATTCGATCTCTAAGTTTACTTATTGATTGCGTAGAACTCATCCAGCTTCTCCTCTGTGATGCCAGCTCGAGTTGCTTGGAACTCCTTTATGAATTCCTGCACAGTCGCAATACAGAGTTTCTTCATTTCGCCGCTCATGATAGTGCCGTTTTTGTACCCCTCTTCGTATTGCTTGAGAAGTGCGTCGTCTGATAAGAAGAAGCGCAAGTACTGGTAAGCTACGTCAACGGTCGGATTTCCACCTAACCTTCGATGCTCTTCCAATGTATCTCGCCCACCAGAGAATGCATGCTTGTTGATTTTCTTCTTTATCTCCGCAGGAGTGTCATTTAAGTATATCGATGAAGAGGTCGAGCTCGCGCTCATTTTGGTGCCCATGCCCTGGAGGGCCGGAAGGAAGTACGTGTAAACTGTTGCGGGCTTAACGGCATTGAGCTTGTTTGCAATGTCTCGCGCCAATCGGAAGTAGGGGTCTTGGTCAATTGAGCATGGAATCAAACAGCGGGCATTCTTATTCAAAAGCTCGGGGAAGGAAGATGGATAGCACGGCGCCATTTGTTTAGAAGGGAAGCAAACCTGTCCTACTTTAACCGAATCTGTGAAGCCAAACACCTTAATAAAGTCTTTCAACATAATGCTTTTCTCGATCTTTAGTGTGTTGGCCACAAACCGATGGGCATAGTTGACATTAGAGAAGATGAACGTCTTTTTGGGGTCAAAACCAAATGCAGCAATATCCTTGGCATTCTCTCTTCCATAGCGCACTGACTCTTCTAAAGTAATGTCTTTCCAGATGTACTTTTCATCATCGGTCATTTGGATTACTAGATTGCATCCGAATTTGTCCTGTAGATACTTGCATAGCAGGAATGGAACAGCGTGGCCTAAGTGCATGCTAGTGCTGCTTGGCCCTCGGCCGGTATAAAGATAGATTTCTTCGCCCTTTCTGGCCGCCTCAATCGTTGCGATAAAGTCTCGATGGGCAAAAACCAATCCTCGTCGAAATAAGATATGGTCTAGCTCGTGCTTTCGGGCCATATCAACCGAAAACGGCTGGCACCCAAACTGGTCAATGATTTTGGAATAGTCTATCTCTTCCTCAACTTTACTCGATGTGATTTCCCAGGGAGTTATTGTTTGGTTAGTATTATCATCCATGGTGTTTGAAAAATAAATCCCAACTTGGCATTGATTTGCTGTTCTGTTGCTATTATCTTAATATGTTATTGTGTAAACTGTCATTGAGTTAGTCTTGTGGGGTTTGAGAGTCGATATGCTCAATGCCGCATTCGGTTGTGGTGTATTATGAGGCTTAATGCTTGTCTGTGTGTATATTGGGCACAGATTCAATCCGGTAACTTGGCCACGCGTTACTTAGCCAACACTCCATTAACGTTCTTTCAAGAATAATCGGGTCGATATGCTATTGCCGAAATGTCTTGTTTTAATCCAGCAGCAAGACGGAAGATAGACAAGGTCTGATTTTGAATCGCACATCCCTCCCTAGCCACAGCTGCAGCCGAATCGTGGCAATTGCTTTGATACTTGTAGCCACATGCCTTGGCATATCATGGTTTCAAGGTTAAATTAGTCTATCCTATATATCGAGTTGGGCCTAAATAAAAGCCGTTTAGTCGTAACTAGTTTTGGTCTACTACCATTAATGCTTGCTTGCAAAGATTAAGATGGCATTACATTTGTTGCCACTCCACATTGCAGCTACGCATAGGCTCTTGGTCTGTAGCGTTATCTAGCGCCGTAAGCCTAGCCTGGTTAATGAGCAATCAATACTAAGCTTTTCTGTGTATGAAATATTAACCTCAGCTTCTAACATATGATCATTCTGGTGAAAATATGCACATTTAGATAGCAAACATTAGAGTTATTAACTAGCGATCAATATTAAATCCCAAACTATAAATAGGCAGGCACGCTCAATAGAAACATGCCTACTTCTTTGGAGAAGCTCGCAAAGTGCCGTTGGTTTCAACGAAACAAGGACATGCTTTGGCCGCAGTATGAAAGAACCGCCCCTTATTCAATTTACCCAGTTGATTACAAACGCACTGGTTTATACTGGGTAGAGGACTTCCGTAAGTTAGAACCACTTGACCCGTGCCGGCCCACAGGACTCATTGTAGTAGCTAGAGATAACGTTGCAAGACAGGTTCCTGACTATATGCTGCGACGGGATGCTAATTTATGGATACTAGACGATCGGACGTGGACGGAGTACAAGTACTTGACTAATGCGGAACAAAGGCTGTATGTGAATGAGTCAGATGGAATTACAGCAGCTGGCCGTCTCCTTGAAGACGGATGCTATCATAAAGGCCTGTCCTCGGCGCCTTTTAACTCCATAGATCATGAGCCGGGTCATTTGTACCTAAGGTGTAACAATGAGCAGACTTATGATATAACCGAGACAAGGGACAGTAACAAGTGCTATTCGGGCTGGTCGTCAAGAAATGGACTACCCCATTTCCGGAACACTATATCATCCACTGGTTCTTCTTCCACTTTGGCCACATCACCCCCAACACCCTCAACCCAACAGTTGCTTAGTGATTCCACTCTGCAAATTAACATCACCCCAACGACTGTCCAGACCTCGTCGACTACTGAGAACATAGCTACAACGACCAGCAATACTGTCAACAGAGGCTTGCCTGCTACTGAACCGCCCACCAACCTTATCAAGGAGGCAACTGAAGAATTATCTGCTACTGAGCATTTATCTACTGTGGTGTCCGTGCCATCCCCCACACATCTTTAATGAGGCTCTCGAGATATCTCTACTTTTAGACGAGTTAACTACAGGGGCAAAGAACTTAGATATTTATTCCATACTACTTTAGATAAGCTAAGA